TATCTATCTTATCTTGGTAGACACATTTCCATGAAAAGATCTAAAGATCTGTAAATGTAAAAATATAGTTGCAAAATTCAACAGCTTTTGTAAACTGAATTGAACTCTTTGAGGTTCAGTTCAGCTGAACCATCATGGCTGCTGCTTCTGAGTTCTACAGTTAGCATTTCTCTTCTACGATTTAAAGTGATCTCTGATTACTATGTTGTCAATAGTCCTAGCTTCTGATTCACCTGTGAGCCTTCAATCTTAAACATACAGCCAGTGTAATGCTTGAAATTGGTAACCTCCTTAAGGTCTTATTCAATGTTTTTAGCTGCACCATCCAGAATGTTCTCCTCTGTTGGTCCTGGAGGGCCGGCATCCTGCATGTTTTAGTTCTCTCCCTGGTTTAACGCACCTGGATCAAATGATGGCTCGTTAGAAGGCCTAGGAGGAACATTGATCTGCTGAAAAGGTTGTTACTAGAACCAGGGAGAAAACTACAATGTGCAGGATGCCGGCCCTCGAGGTCCGACTTTGGGCACCCCTGGTCTACGTCATTGATGGTTGTCACTTGGGGCGCTATTTTCAGGCGAAGCAGTAAGCAGGCTAGGTAGAGGAGGTACTAATACCTTTTATTTTGAAATACGGGCCATTTTTGCCACAAAAAGTTTAATTTCAGACTTGTTACAATACAAAGGCTTCAACATTCCTTTAAAGTGAAAGATGTACTTTAATACTGTGACTATTTTCAAAGTAACTGTTTTGTATTTTTATTTTATGTTTCCGTAGTATGGCTCTATACTCTGTTGTATCAGCATGGGGACACTATTTAAAAACCCAATGTACCATATCATTGCCACAGAATAAAACAAGAATGTGGCTCAGTGTATAATATTCAAGACTGCAGCTGAAATTTCTTTCAATGCAATAATTATGGGCAACTGGATGAAAATCACAAAGTTTGCTGCAGCTTAGTCTGTTTCAATATCACCCACATGTGAGAAGCTGATACATGGTTCTGTGCTGCCGACCAAAAAATCAATTGATTTTCTTCATTTTTCTGGTTAAATCAAGCAACTTGATGAAATTCAGCAAAGATAAAAAGCAGAAGCTGATTTGCAGTTTGGCTTGTCGACTCCTGGGGGAGAACTGGATGTACTTTAGTGTTCTTCCCTCCACCAGGGAGCTCAGAGCTGGGATCAGGATTCAGTGCAGTGTATGGGCCCTGTGATGCCATGCCAGAGGATGAGGCGTGTGCACAGTGCAGGCCAGTGAGGGAGCTGTCAGAGCCACAGACCCCCAACACACAGGAAGCGTTTCCTCAGGAATACTGATGATGGCTGGCTGGGAGTCCCTGCGACAGAGGAAGCTCTCTCAAGCCACCAGCTGCCACAGACTACCCAGAATCCCTTTCATGCCCCGGACGGGCCCCCAGTTCTTAATGCTGCTGCATTAAGATGCTGCACTTGGAAAGACATTTGTTGCTAACCTCTCCCTCCACTCTTACTCAGGATGAAATGAAACAGAAAACACATTATCAGTTGTGTTTGATATGAAGCTGAGATCAGAAGAACGCTCTGAGGCTCTTCTCTGCACCAATCAGACTTCTAGGACTTGCACTGCTCACATGCAAAGGAAAAATCAACCGAGCATTTAAATGTGCTTCTGCAACCAGGCAGATTAATGACACAACTCATCATGTGGAACTGAGAGGGGTCTGTTTACTTGATTGGAAGGACCTGCTGCTCTGTAGTTTGTTTCATTTTACTGAATAAAATCAGTTCCAGTTAATAACCTACAGACAGTTGGTGTAGCTCCTGTAGATATCTGTGTCTGCAGAGCAGCAACATCACTGCATGAAGTATTAGAACAGTTTATATGCATTTATACCACTGTTCTGTAATAAATTTGCAACCGATCTGCCAACTCAAACATTTTGGGTTTTTGTCTAAACAAAGACGGCAGTAAAGCAGTTGGATCAGGTTCAGCTCGTCACTGCCTCGTCCATAAAAACACCAAGAAACTGTCTTTATGAAGCTCCCTCAAAACTGGAATGCAGATGTCCAAATAACACCTGTTGTTGAGAAGAGAAGGGTAAAACCATAACCCTACTAATGTGTTTATGATTATTGATACTGACTGAGCGGGTCGGATCGCTCTGTTCTGATTGAATGTCTTAAAATTTTTCATGATTTCACTTCTGATGTAACAAAACAGCTCCATATAAACTGAGCTAATGTCTGACAAATTATGTTCCAGCAGATGGTCTGGCCTTTATATTGTAGACAAATATATATTATAACATGCAGTGTTAGTTATAGTGATGTCTAAATGCAGGTAAGATCTTTTGTTTTCATGACAGTAAATCAACCAACAAAAGCTCTTAATGTTGAAGTAAACATAGCAGCTAAATGATATAAGCAGCATTTATAGTCATGTAGTTGTAGTTTTTATTGTAGAAGTGGCTTCACAGAAGTTGCATGGTCCACCATCTCTCAGCATGTTGAGGGAAGATTTTCAGGAAGGAAATCAGACCCACAGGATATTACAGACTTTCTCTCAGTCTGTTCCTCACTTCATCAGTCCCAGTGTGCCAAGGAAGCTCCTCTGCTTCATATTAGCCCAGGGTTCATGTAAGCCTCTGCTGACACAGCTCTGCCTCTGCTGACCTCCCAGCAGAAGCAGCAGCTTGAGAGACAAGCTGGGTGACAGAAACAGGCTTCTGCCTTCTGACTGAGACAAGCCTTTAATGTGAAAATGTATGATTGATAAATGTGTGGACCAGATGATTTAAGAGGCAAACATTCTGCATAGATGAGGAACAATAATGGACTTCATGTCTCCCAGATCTACAAAAACGTATCTTTACTTTACCTTTGCATTCTCGATGCACGGACAAATGGCCCATGCAGCACTAGCCTGAACTTCTGCATTGGGGTTCTTTAGCAGTGACCACACCAGGCGGACTCCATCAAGCTGGTCAATGATTCTGAGGCAAACACAGAGAATCGTTTCATTGT